AAGATTCTCAGAAATAAATTAACAGAAAAGGGGAACTTTGAACAAACATAATCTGTCCAAGCCAAGACAAAAAGTCATTTGGTTTAACAGCTCGTCCATTGTAATATCACTATTTAAACATCCTCACAAAAAAAAAAAAAAACATAATAAAGGGACAGAGAATCACCATTATTTGCTCTCTAAAAACAAAGTGATGAAAATTCAAACAGTTAAATAATACCTGCTCTGGTCATAGCCCTTACAGTTCACAGCCATTCCTAATAAAACTAAGAATCTCCTCTAGTATCACTGATAGCAAATTAATATTTATAGCTTAGCAGGCAGTATAGAGCTAACAATTGCTTATGGTGCAAGAGACAGAAAATGCAGTGAAATAAATCTAGTTTTCCTGAACAATAGTTCACATAGAAAAACACATTTAAAAGTAAGACTGTTCAAGGATGGAAGCATATTCATTATGAAAGTCTGCATAACATTTGGGAGGATTGATTAATTTCCTTTCAGCTTTGAAGGCAGTACATCCTTCCACTTTTTCTTGTGGAAGTGAAGCAATACCCACAGCAGAGGAAAAGAAATATATAGATTGCTCAGCCTACTTGGACATGCAGAGATCCGTGGGATGCTGTGAGATGTGCTGAGGGTGCTGGAGGATACCCTGGGAAGGTTTTTGGCACAGTCCCCCAGAGCTGTCTTGTCCCCCAGTAGGTGAGTGACAGCTGGAGATGTGGACAACAAGGCAGGCAGAGAATTGATCAGGATGCACAGTGCCTGAGAGTCACACAGACAATCCACACAGTGCTATGGGGACGAACACTGGGAATTGCCTTCGTTAATGCAGGACATGAGAGGACAAAGTGCACTCCCAAATTGTGGATGCCAACAAATTGAGGGGCATCAGTCGATATGTGGGGGACAGGGCTGCTGTCCCAAGGGATTGGGACACCCTGCAGACATGGCTTGATAGGAAAACACTGAGGTTTAGCAAAGGCCTTACCAATAAAAGGCACTGACACACTGGGATGAGTCCAGTGGAGAGCACCAGGATGGGAGGGGATAAGGAATATGGAACACATGAAAGGCATCAAGAGGTTTTTCAGCATTAAGGAGAGGGCACTAAGGAGACACATTACTCTCTCTGCATCTTCCTGCACTCTGAAAGATGCAGACTGAGAGGCAAAAAAACCCATTTTGTTACATGGAAATCCTGATTATGTATTAAGACAAAATTATTTGGTTTTACCATGAGGGTGGTCAAATATGCCCAAAGAGAGCACAGAATCTCCATCACTGAAGTTTTTCAAGACTGTGATTCTGTGTGACTCTCCTGGACAATCCCCAAACATCCTAATCTGAAGAGAACAAAATCCTTGTAACCTCCATCGGTCCTTCTTAAACCAAATTGCTATATGATTCTACAAGAGCAAATAATCTTAACAAAAAGAGAAAAAAAAAGAGAAAAAAACCCAGTGAATCCATGATACTTATCTATCATTTGGTTTATTTCTTTGTTTTTCTTTTCTCTAAATCAGTATTGTTATACTAAAGCCTTTATTATTACATAAAACATTCCTTTATTCAAATGTAATGAAAAGCTCATTATGACTTCCCAGCTACCAGTGCAAACAGTGTACTTAGCCAAATGGTAATTGTATCGGCCTTCCTTCTATTCCAATACTGCTCTGAAAGTTGTGTCCCTCAAATGAATAATTACCTACAGAATAATTAAATGTTGCTGATATGGTCTACTCATCCCACTTGTACATAGAAACAGCAAAGTCTGTCTTCCCTGAAATCTATCTCCGTCACGTTGGATAAGCTTACTGCCCATCACACGGCTGGCATCGATCCCCACTCAATTACAGATGAACATAGCACCATATTAAAAGACAAATAAGGTTTAATTTTAATCACAGACAGCCTGTAAGTCCATGTTCCATTATAGATTAAAAGAACCAATTATTTTCAAAAGTAAAGATTTAATGAAAGGCCTTACTAATATATAGACACATTGCTCCCTCTGCATTCTAAGTCAGACTCTGCAGTAATGCTTGAAATTGCTGCAAGCAATCCAAGCAAGGCATGGGGATGCAACTTGGAGAAGAATGTATTTTCCTTCAAATACAAATATATTTTCTCAATAGGGTTTCTTTTGCAAGATTTTTCTTTCAAAAGAGTAAAATCACAGACCATTTATAGTCAACAAATTAACTCTGCGGCCAGAGTTTTATTGTTACTAAGACAGAGTAAATGCAAAATAATTGCATTGAAGCAGGCAGAAATTCCACACTAATGACACTGAATGCTGCTGAAATCACTTTATCCCAGGCTCAGAAAGGTAGTTAGGAACCTAATTCTCATCTGAATTCAATGGGAGTTAGACACCTACACATCTCTGAATCCAGACATTATAGCCTTCCATCTGTAACAACAGGAGCTGGCTTGCATAATTAACTCCAGAATCTAGGGCATCAAAATTCTTATTTTCTTACTACTCATTCTTTAGTACTAGTTTCCAATCCCCCTTGTTTATTGAGGTAATATAATGTTTGTGAGACTGTGAACTAATAAAATTTTAGCTCTGTAATGTTGTTATTAGCACTGAGAATGCAAAGACAAAAACACATCTACAAACTGGGTAATCCAATAATAGTGCTATGAATGTAATTCCACTTGTACAGAGAAAGCATGAGAGGTTATATACATATATATGTATATGCATATAAAGATAACATCCCAATTTTTAAAGCTGGTTTTTATATAATGCCATGGGGTTTTTTAAGGAATTTCACATATGCTGTTCAACCAGAAATGCTTTAATGCACGGTTAGGTCTCTTCATCTTTCTAAATTTGGACAGACCTTCTTTAGAAGATAAAAAATGTTAAAGTACTATTTGCCAACAGACACTGTTATATCAATCTTACAATTACTGTTCACAGTTAAAAACAAAAACCCCATAATAAAACAGGACTCCCTTGACTAGAAAGAACCTGTGTTTTATCTGCCCCTCTAACCTTCAAGGAAAAGTGTACCAAATAAAATACTAGTTAGGTCTGTAGAATGCGGGTTTAGAAAAAAAATGCAGGAATTTCTGATATATTTTAAGGATCTCATATCAAAAGATCACTTAGAATACTTCTGATGATGAACAAAAGAGTTGGGAAACCTTCTCATCTACTTATACTCAGCCCTTACTGTTTTCATCCTGCAAAATTCTTTTTGGTTTTGTCCTCACTGATCCCTGAAGGAAAAAAATCTCCAGCTTCTCTCCCCTTGTTAGATATTCACAAAGAGAATACGGGAGAACAGCAAACAGGTGCTCCAATGGAAACAGCTCCTCACAACCCAGGTGCACTGCAAAGATTTGGTTCAGAAAACAGCAGCTGTGTTCTGAGAGTGCTCCCACCTTCCTTACACACTCTAGCATACACACAATTAACAGAAATGAGACACTCAATTTACCAGGCCTAGGGAGAACCAGGATTGTGCAGAAACAAATCCCTACTTTCAGGTTGGAATCCTATTCTTTCTCATTTTTAACGTTCTTTTGACTACAACAAATTCCAATTTTTTGGTACACCACCAAATTCATCCATCATGTTCTGTGAAATATCTTAAAAGAAACATGAAATAAAGACTTTTTTAAATCTATGCACAGAAAACCTACAAAAACAAGATAAAACAAGATACACACTGAAACTTCTGCCTTAGCATATATTTCAATAGCAGCATGAGGATATAACTGTTCTTCAACAGAAGTAATAGGTTTCACAAAAATAATTAGAATATGCAAAGGTACAGATCTTTCTCTAGCTGATCTAATACCAGGTCAAGTCAAGACATGGATTGCTGGTCCAACTATGATTTTAAATCAGCACAGTTATTTTCCTATATTGACACCAAATATATTGCACATTAAATATATTATCAATGAATTCTGTAAATTTTATAATTCACTGTTATCTATTATAAATTCTGTCAGACTTCTATACAGAAGAAACACATTTTATACACAAGAAAAATTAGAGAATATTTCTTGGGTTTTCAAAAACCACCTATGTGCCTGCTATACATTCAGAAGTAGAGCCTTGTGTGTTGGAAATGTAAGATGATGGCTCACTCTGAAAATGTCACCTGCTATTTACTATCATGTTTTCTTTTTCAGTTCAAAGGCCTCACCAATATGCTGTAGCAGAAAATGGTTTAAGGCCATATTGTCTGCTAAATCCTCATATGTATCACTCCTCTCTAAGCAAAACACTCTCCAAAATCTGCACACTGGGTTCTAGATTAAACTAATATAAAGTGCATCTTTATAGGGGCCACTGAGTAACTTTCACATTCTGTCCTAGAATCTCTGCTAGAGATGATCTGAGTTAAGGTATTTTGCAAAAGCATTAGTCCCCCTCCAGAGTATTTGCAGCAGTGGCAAATAAGATTTTCTTATTAGCTATCACAAAATCTGGCACAGCATTATGGGCAGAGTAATAAATGTCTTCATTCTCGCTGTGGCACACAGCACTGAGACATTTACATGAGATTGCTGTTGTCACAGACACTAATTAAGTGCTTGATTCTGCCATGGCCTTTCTAAAGGTCTTGGGTACCTCAAATTCATGCTATGGTACATCATATATATTAGTCTGGGAAAATTTGACAAGCATGGTACTGTAATATGCAGAGATATGCATATATGAACTTTCCTCTGAACAATACCTCAGTATAAAAACCAGTGCACTCAAAGTCTGAAATACTTAATAAAAATAGCCAGTTTTTATAAGCATAATTTTAAAATTAACTGAGTAATTTTGGCTGCATAATCATACCCCTGAAGGGATGCAATAAAATACAAATTTAATCAAATACAGTTTTAGAACATGCTTCAAGCTAAGACATGTACAATTTTGATCCAAATATCTAGTCATGAGTATAATATCAGACCTTTAATTATAATTCCTATTATAATTGTTCTATTGAAGAAAATGTAGCCAGTGCCCTTACCTGCAATTATGCACACACAGTCTGTGGAAAGAGCAGATAAAGACTCTCCTGTGAACCATTCCTTGCTGAGCTAATTCACCCAACTGGTTTAATTTCATTTGCCCTCAGTCTGCCATTGCAGTGATTACATCTAAATGAAAAGACAAGGAAACACCAAAATTAAAAAAAAAAACCAAAGTCATTAGATTTATTGTCTAAATTTTCAATTTGAGTTCTATTTTTGAGCAATCAGGAAGTCTGGGTCACAGAAAGCATGTTGCAAGAAGAAGCATTTGGTACTTGCTGATAGTAGTGTGCATGAATATCTCATCTGGTGACTAAAATGTGTGGCATCCCCAAGACTCATTACAGTGCACGCTTGGTGTTCTGTGATAGGTGCCCTGTATTTTACTCCTAATATATTGAGATTTATAAACCCATACAGAAATGTCTTTTTGGGAATATCTAGTGTTAACATTTCAGGCTGCTCTTGAAAGTTAAATACTCTTTTTAGGCCACAGTTTTAAAAGGTTTTCTGTGGCACAATGATCTGAGGGAATACATATTATAACATACATCATCTTCTAATATTTATTTCAATGAAGCTTCTGCAATGCAGATGGAGCTTTGGAAACTGCACTGCTGGCTGTGTTAGCAATGTCCAAAGGAGGGATATGGGGATTCAACAATCTCATGTGTCCACCCATGAGACCCTACCCACAGGAAGGAACTAAGCCTGGAGATAACTCAGTCTCTTATATTGTGTGTTATGGAGTAGCAGGATTACATCTCCACACCATTTATCAAAACCAGATGCTATAAACACACTGAAGCTACTCCAGAAAGAAAGCAGGCACAAGGTTTCTCTCAAATGGCCCAGGACTCCCCTCCACCTGTCTAACCTACAATACACTTCTCTGAAAAATATCAACTCCCTGTCACATTTTATAGCTGCTTCATATTGCCCAAATCACTGTTGACAATATTGGTTTTATTGCTGTACAATAGAATTCTACTCAGTAAATGGTCAAAAATCTTATTCAGGTGAATTCCAAGCTACACAGTGCAATGTGTGGATACAATGTCAATTCTTTTGAACATGAGCCATACATGGAATTTTACATGGATTTTTCTCCTCCCTCAAAATCTACCTTGACCTTGCAAACTATGAAGTTGTTAGCTTAGTCTCCGGGGAAACCATAGCAATAAATGCTAGGCTATTAAAAAGTCCCATGCAATAAATTTCAATCCAAAGACCAAAAATAAACAAACAAAACCAAGTATGACTTTCTAGTAAAGTCCAAACTAGTCTATCAATTAGCCCAAAAAGCCCACTCAAAGAGGGCCTGGAGTGATGATTATACCATATATCAATAATTAGATTAATTCATTCAACTGATCTGATACATAACCATGAAATAAATAAAAAAATGGAAAAATACAATAAGCATATACAACCACATTGGCCTCTCAGGCAAAACAGTGTCATGTAAGGATTTTTTTTCCATCATGTGACTCATTATGCAGTACTAATTACATCATCTCCCCATCTTGCTGCCTCTAGACACTCAATTGCTATGGATTGGTTGCTTTCCCTGAGGCTGCTGATACATTTATAATAAGCATGGACTAACCTCAAAGTAATGAATCCCACCCCCTTGATTAATTTATATTAAACAGAAAATATTAGAGAAAACCCCAAGTATCTTATTTTAAAAAATATCAAAGATGTTCAGCTCAGCTTCTGAAAAAAATATTTTGCAATTGGAAACCAGCTTGGTCATGCACATGTCTGGCTTACACTCCTTTATTTTCTTTATATAGGGATTTATGAAGTACAGAACCATTTACACAAGTCCATTTAAATGACCTGGGCACCAAGCTTTTTGATTTCTGAATTAATTTATACTCTAATATGTGACAACTTCTGATAATGCCACAAATTATATGTAAACTTTGATCATGCATATTTGAGTGAACAGTACCAGAATTTATTCTTGTCTGTCATTGTCCATGCAACTTCAGATTTGGAAAAGAGATTAAAATATTTGGTTTTTTTTTCTGAATACTTGCTGAAGCCAAGGCATACCATTGCAAAATCACAGAATATTGAAAATTATAGAAAATAGAAAATTTCCAGACCTTCTACAAGCACATGCAGCACAGTGATTTTAATGAAGATATGCTAATTGTCAAAGATTTGTCTAGTACCTCTCTGGACTCTTACTTGCATTGGTGCTTCACACAGCCTTAAGTACCAAAAATACATCCTGCATCATTCTCCTTTCCACCTCAAGACAGGGGAATGCATCCTTAAGAAATGGATGTCACAAAAATATTCTCTGGTCTCCATTTTATAGCAACATCAGTCAAACCCACAGCCCATTATGGACACAATATACAGCAGTATATCCACGATTACCACAAGGAAAGCTCAGACATACAAGATCTTCAGAGTCTGAGTAGAAAAATACAACATAACAGCCTACTCAGAAATGTAAAATCTCCTTTCTGTGAATGCAATAGTTTCATTTAAATAAAATCAGGTGTAAGCAGTAGCTGCAGGGGTGGAGGAAGCTCAACATTATTAGCATTTGTGAATATTACCAGTGTTAACAAATTCAAGTATTTATGAGGAAGAATACAGGGGGAAGTGTCTGCTTGTGTGCCTTTTATGACACACAGAGAATAGATCCACAGAATACAAGAGAAATTCAAGGATGTCACTACCTGGCAATAACATAAACAAGGGTGTACAAAAAAGTAGTCAAATCAGATAAACATATTCACCTTCCTTGGGCTTAGAGTTATTTTTCTATTAAAAGAGTGGAAAATAACTGAACTCCTGAGATAAACTGAAGGTTTGGTCATTTCCTCTGCAAAATTTATATACGCAAAGTATTTCACACACACTCTTACCTTTTCTGATTTTCTTTTCCTTTTTTTTTTTTTTTTTTTTTTTTTTTTTTTTTTTTTTTTTTTTTTTTTTTTTTTTTTTTTTTTGGCTGTTCTTGCTTTTGTTCATTGTTGATAAAAGAAAAGGCCAGCAGTTTATCTGCAGCAAGAATTTACAGCTGTAGCAACACTTCTGGGTCACCAGCTTGCACAGTAAACTTATGTGTGCCAAAGGCATGGAATCCAGAAATTCCCACATTTAAAATTAAAAAAAAAATTAAAAGGGAAAAAGGGCAACAAAAACAGAAAAAATAAGGGAGTGGAGCATAATTATTATGCCAATTCCTTTACCTACCAGACTTTTGCAGGAGTAGGAGCCCCACCCTCTTTTGAAACTTTCACAACACACTGAAAATTTATTAAGATATAATGGGAGAGAAAAAGGGAAGCTGACAGAGTGAAAAAATATATTTTCTGTTTACAATACATTCACTTGGGAAGTCTGACAGTCTGTGGTCCATATTCAACGTTAGATAGTCAATATGGATTTTGAAAAAGGAGAGAAATCCCTTATCTTTAAATTAAAAATCAGACCTCTAGGTCCCAAAATTTCAATGATTTGAAGTCACTGCAATCTGAAAGAAGGGCACTGTGCTTCCCCAAGGACCAGAGCAGAAAAGAAACTCCAGATCTACTGAAAGGATTAAGAGCTGCTATCAACAGCACTGAAGATATTCTGGGTCCAGATATTAAATATATAAATGATGGATACCCCCATGGTGTGGCAGTATCTCAGTCCTGTATTTCGGCACTTTAGTTTTAACCATTTGTGGAAAACAGAAATGGACACTTCTTATCTCCATGATGGAGCCACCAAAGATTAAATTATTTTTACAAGCCTAAGTATCACAAATTCCATCTAAAAAAGTTCACTTTTAATACTGCAAGTGTTTAACTTCTCCAGCCATTTATTGAGTGGCACCATGGACTCATGAACTCCAGATATTTTAAAATCCAGAAACTAATTTTGATCAAAGCAAAGCTCGAGATCAAAAAAGAAGTTGTAGGCCTGTGGTTTTCAGTATGAGAAATGTTGAAGGACAAACATGGCTGTTCAGAAATTTTTATTATATAAATTCAAAATTGATCTACACAGAAGACCATTTAGAACACAACAACGCTAATAATGCAAAGAGTCAAATAAAAATCAATAGTCATTGTTAAAATCCAGCTTAAACTGACTTGGCTGGTGAGCTTCAGCAGCACTCTGAAAGGATAAGTTGCAAATGAGTCAAGCCAATGGGCATGAAAATTTGTAAGAAATGTGATCTTTTTTCCCCTCAAATCTGTCCAGTAACAAGGAGGTGACTCAAATTGCTCAGCAGATGGCTCAGATGTAAGAACAGCTTGGTAGAAGCAGGACAAGGCTAATTAGAGTATTATGCCTGGGCCTCTTTATTTTCTACCTCATCCCTTCTTCCCTCCCAGAGAGTGTCTCCAGCCTCTCCATTTCTTTTTCAAATATCCCCTGAAATCCCAGCGATGCTCTTGTGCAGCAGCACAGCAGAGAAGGGCAGAATGAGCAGGAGATTTGTGCTGCCTTTGCCCCGGGCAGGGCTGCTGCTCTGAAAGCTGCTGGGGTTGGAGGCACCTGTAAATACCCGGCCATGCTCGTGAAGGCTGGGGACCACGTTTCTGTGCACTGCTCCCTAAATTAGAACCATGTGAACACACAGGATTGAAGGCCACAGATTTCACCCAGCCAGTAAGAGGAGACGATCAAAAGGATATTTGCATTGGAATTGATAAGATTATTGACATTCACAAGGTTGCACATCTGTACCAGAGAACAGGAAAACCATTTGTCTTGTGATCCAGGTCAAACTCATACAAGCAATAAATACTATTCAATTTTGAGCTTTTTATTTTCTTTTCAAGTTATCAGGGAAAAAAAAAACAACATATCTGTCCATGTTAATGAATAACTACTTCTCTATTTTACAAATAGACCATGTTGCTACACATGGCAGGAATTACTGTCCATCTAATGCAGAGATATAAATAATATGAACCCTGAGAGCATCTATTAATTTATTTCTTTGCTCATACAATTTCAAGTGTGATTGTTAAGTTTATTTCTTGCCTGAACTGTATCAAG